TGTATTCAGTTCTGGCCTTGGGATAATGATCTACTAAACATACCCAAATTATCATGAGATCCCTAGCATCAATATTTGCATGTGAAGACCCCCAAACCCCCTCCAAAATAAATCACACAGGACACAGAATATTTCTTTAAGATTTTTGGCATTAATTTTGGCCACAATTTTATTGATTACAGCATGTGTGAGTGGTTGCTTAGCATTGGTTCAGACTACCTGAACCTGCACCTGCACCTGCAGGAACAGGACTCACAACTGGAACCTCCAGAGGTCAGTAAGTGAAAACATACTGGGGGAGCACAGAGGCAGATTTCCGCCTCTTAGTTTACCCCAGATGCTCCTAGAAACTCTGACATGGCCCTACCCCTGAGAGGGGATCAGACAGAGTAAATCGAGCCCCTGGATTCCATTAACGGAATTCCCTAGAGCAGCAACAAAAATGAAGGGCAGGCACAGGCAATCCATAATCCCCTCCACCAAAGAATGAACCAATGCCTAACCGCCAACCTTACAAAGTGACGATTTGCTACACGGTAGGCAAAAACCAAATGGCACCAGCCAATCAGCCAAGTGGCAAAATTCCTACCGGGCCCCTGCTCCAAAAACAGACCACCCCTAGACAGGCATAGCAAGGCCAAAAACACAACCTTAAATTACAGGGAGGGAGAGAGGGAGATCCATTGCACAATGCGAAAAAGAAAGTACTTCGCCTTGTGCAGCCCCTTAAATAGCCCCTTAGTTGCCAATCAAACCCCAACCAACAGAAAATTTTCCCCAGCAACAAAGGGGCAACCAATGAGGTGAGGAGGTCATCCAAATGGGTCTGCCCCAGCAACAAGAAGGCAGTTTGGTGAGCTCACCGCAACAAGTGGCTCTCCATGATTTGGAGGACACGATTTCCAGTGAAGGATATATAAGAGCACAAAGAAGAGGTGAACTTAGATTACATCACTTCTTCATCCTTATTAGATGTTCCCTGCTGTTCAGCTCAGGCCTCAGCACAATGATGTAGCACTTTGGGAAAAAGATGCAACCCAGTAATCCAGCACCAGAGGACAAGATGGAGAAGATCTCCACAGCCACCATGTATTTTCCTTTGGTACTCAGGTAAGTTGGAATAAAAGTTAACCAAACACTGCAAAACACCAACATGCTGAAAGTGATAAATTTGGCCTCATTGAAACTGTCTGGTAACTTTCTGGCTAGGAAAGCCACAATGAAACTGAGAATGGAAAGGAAACCCATATATCCCAACACACATGAAAAGATAGCAGGTGAACCCTCATTACATTCTAATATAATTTCCCCACTCGATGAGTACATGTCCATATCTGGAAATGGCGGAGAAGTAAGTAGCCAAACTATACAAATAGCTGCTTGAATGCAGGAACAGGAAAAGACCATAGAGTTTGCTAGTCCTTTTCCCACCCATTTCCTCATCTCGGATCCTGGTTTAGTTGCCATGAATGCCAGGACTACCGTGATAGTTTTTGCCAACACAGAGGAAAGGGCAACAGAAAAGATTAAACCAAAGGCTGTTTGTCGCAGAAGGCAGATGGCCTTTCCAGGCTGTCCAATGAAAAGCAAGGAACAAAGGAAGCAAAGGAGGAGGGAGATGAGGAGGATGTAGGTGAGGGTCTGGTTGTTGGCTTTGACAATGGGAGTGGCCTTGTGCTTGATAAACGTTCCAAGGATTAAACTTGTAAGCAAAGAAAAGGAAATAGCCAAAATAGTTAAGATGATCCCTAAATCTTCTTTATAAGACAGATAGCTTAGGACCTTGTGAATGCATTGAGTTTGGTCAATATTGGGGTGCTCGATTTCTGGACATTTGAAACAGGCACCCATGTCTGAAATAAAATGAAGATATAATAAGTATTTCAAGATGCCGAACTACATCTTTCTGTAAGAATCAGTTACAACAATCAATGAATTTTGTATGCTTTTGATTCTGTTTTTACTAGCTCTAGAAAGAAAGAAAATAGAAATTGCATCTTTTTGCGTACCCATGGTTCTGAATTTGCACATGGTTCTGTGCTGTAGTAATGTAATGGCTATGTGTTTTTCTGTATCCCAGTAATTCCATAATTCAGGGTGATTCATGAGAAGGAGAGGGAAGATATTGGGATCAAAGTTAAGGAGCTACTGGCAGGTTTTTTGGAAAAGGTGGTTAAATATATGGAGGCAGAATTGGGTGGTTTGTGAAAGAGCCTTATTTGTAGTGGCTCCATTTAAAATACTAACGGATGCAAAGGAAAGAGGTGGATTTGCCCTGCCAGACCTTAAACTGTACTATGAATCAGCAGCCTTTTGCTGGTTGAAAGAATGGCTACTTCTTGAAAACACTGACATTTTGGATCTAGAAGGTTTTAATAATGTATTTGGATGGCATGCATATTTATGGTATGATAAGGTCAAAGCACATAAAGCATTTAAAAACCACATTGTCAGGAAAGCGCTGTTTAATGTTTGGATAAGATATAAGGATTTGCTAGAAAATAAAACCCCAAGGTGGCTGTCACCAATGGAAGCGAAAGCCTTGAAAAGGTCAATATGGAGGTCAAATGGCCGAAATATTGGGAAATTTTGGAACAAGACGGAGATAGACTGAAATTGCAGAGTTTTGAAAAACTAAAAACAAAGTGCGAGACTGGCTTCATTATTATCAAATAATGGAGGTATTTAAATTGGACAGGAAAATTGGCTTCCAGGTGGAAAGATCCAAATTAGAAACAGAATTGTTAGAACCCAAGACTAAGAATTTGTCAAGAATGTATAACTTGCTGCTGAAATGGAATACTCAAGATGAAACGGTAAAATCGGCTATGATTAAATGGGCACAGGACGTTGGACATAACATTATGTTTGCTGACTGGGAACAGTTATGGACCACAGGTATGAAATTTACGGCATGTAATGCCTTAAGAGAGAATATTATGAAAATGATATACAGGTGGTACATAACCCCAGTCAAGCTTGCGAAAATCTATCACTTGCCCGATAACAAATGTTGGAAATGTAAAGAAACTGAAGGTACATTTTTTTCACCTTTGGTGGACGTGCCCAAAGATTAAGGCTTTCTGGGAAATGATATATAATGAATTTAAAAAGGTATTTAAGTATACCTTCCCTAAGAAACCAGAGGCCTTCCTCCTGGGCATAGTCGGCCAAATGGTGTTAATAATGGATAGAACTTGCGTTATGTATGCAACAACAGCAGCAAGAATACTCATCGCAAAGTATTGGAAGACACAAGAACTTCCCACGCTGGAGGAATGGCAGATGAAACTTATGGACTATATGGAATTGGCGGAAATGACTGGTAGAATCCGTGACCAGGGAGAAGAGTTGATGGAGGAAGACTGGAAGAAATTCAAAGACTATCTTCAGAAACACTGCAAAATTAAGGAATGTTAGAGTGATGTTGGACTGAAAATAAGTGGTTTCCAGCTGCACAGGTTAAAGTTAAGGATAGATTAACTTTAAAGATTAAAGATTAAGATTAAAGATGTTTAAAGAAATGGAAATTTGATATTAAAAGGGAAAACTTTAAAGTTATATGATATTAAGATCAAGGATTAGGTTTAAAAAAGTTGAAGTTATATATATATATTTTAACATTTTATTAAATTAAAGATTGGGATTAAAAAAGTGGAAAAGAAACTGCTGGACAAATAATGTGGATTGGAATACAAAAGAGGGAGGTATGAGGAAGTCCAGAAAATAAGTAATTTAAAATTGGAAATGGAAAAGAGAGTTTGTTTTTAATTGTTATGCTTTGTGTTTTTATTGTTAAGTTTTGTATTGTTTTTTGTGTGTGTTGTTTTTCTTTTTTTGTTGTTTAAAACTTTAATAAAAAATTATAATAATAAAAAAAAAAGATTGGACAAGAGAGCTTTACGCTCTTTACATATCATATTTGTAGTGGCTCCAAAATGATAAAACTCCCTCCTCACAGAGATGTATTTGGCACTAAAACTTTATATATTTATATGTATATTATAGTTTCTTTGTAATTGTATTTTTAGTCTATGTAATTTGCCCCGGGACCTTAAGATGAAGTAGGGTCAAGAAATACCAGGAACAAACAAACAAAAAGAAATTGGGTATTGTTTTTTTGCTTCCTATGCTGGTATTTTATGCTCCCTGTGTCTTTTGTGAAATTTATTGGTTATCCCTTATACCTTTCTGATTAGAGATCATCCCTTCTGGACATGGAGCACAATCATAACAGCAGAATTTCTCTTCCTCCTTCTTTTTCCTACTATAGCCAGGATAGCAGTTATCATTGCATACAGAAACTGGCATCACCTGCATGGAAATATGAAGGTGTGGTTAGCAGCAAGGCATCTTCTTTGCTTCAGTGAAGACCAAAGAAGAGACCAAACTCTAAACTGTTTTTCATGTATCCATGGGCCACAACTGCAACTCCCAGAACTTGGCCAACAATATTGTTAACTCAGGCAACCCAAAATGCACAAACCAATCAACCCTGAGCATCCCATAGTTTCAGGCACTGGTACTAACTATCCCAGTAGACAAGGCTGCTGCTTGTATGAAGTAAAAGGGTAAAGGTACCCCTGACCGTTAGGTCCAGTCGCGGACGACTCTGGGGTTGCGGCACTCGTCTTGCTCTATAGGCCGAGGGAGCCTCTGGGTCATGTGGCCAGCATGACTAAGCCACTTCTGTTGAACCAGAGCAGCACACGGAAATGCCGTTTACCTTCCCGCCGGAGCGGTACCTATTTATCTACTTGCACTTTGACGTGCTTTCGAACTGCTAGGTTGGCAGGAGCAGGGACCGAGCAACGGGAGCTCACCCTGTCGCAGGGATTCAAACAGCCGACCTTCTGATCGGCAAGTCCTAGGCTCTGTGGTTTAACCCACAGCGCCACCCGCGTCCCCCTTGTATGAAGTAGGGTGAACCAATTTACCTCAGGTGGCAGATCCAACCAACTCCCCTTCCCATCCTTTCCCTCACTATTGCACTGCTGCCACCCCTTCTGCAACTTTGCCCATGCCGCCACCACCACTGCTGCAACAGTGCTCTTGCCCTCACCACTAATGCTGCCCCCTCGCTGCTGCTGCTGCTGCTGCTGCTGCTGCTGCTTTGTTGTGGCAGCAGCATGGGTGCAGCCACAGGCAAGGGTGCAGTTGTGGTGGTGGACGGCATGGGTGGCAGCCCATGTGGGGGAGAAGGGACCCTGAATCTGCAGGGGGTGGGGTATGGCAGCATCAACAGTGGGAAGCAGCAGTGGGGAGGCATTTTGCATACAGAAGCAAAATGTTCCAGACCGCCCTTGCCAGCATAGGTGTCGGTAATATGGACTCCATTCTTAGACCATATGCCACAAAAACTCCAAGGCATTTGTGGGACTTCTTGAGAAACTCAGCCAACTATATTGTTAATCCAGCCTGGTCCAGTCAATAGAGTCTGCCCTTTTATGGGACCTCTTCTTCCATGTCACCAAAAATACAAATGTGCCTCTGGAGATCTGGAGGCTTTCAATATTTATGCATGCATGCATAAATATTTATGCATTAAAAAAAATATATACTACAAAGTCATCAACGGAGTGTGCAATCTATGCAATTTATTTAAATGTCTAGCATAGGCCTATCAGCATAAGAGATTGTTGTCTATGTTCTGCTGTCTATGGCTCTAGGGATGCTTCTACCATAACCAGAGCATCAGTGCACAAATACCAACTACTGTCGACCACTGGACAACACACTGAAAAACAGCAAAAGAAAAACAAACAAACAGAAAGATTCAGGAATTCTGCATAGATCTCTCCAGATGGTTTGAACACTGGATTATTATTCTGCACAGAATTCTCTTGCCTCTCCACACATGCTGAGATGACCAGCAAATGGCACCAGTTTATGACACAGTCTTAGCTGTGCTGAATGCTCTGCCATTCGCAGACTAAAAAGCAGCCCTGATATTCTAATTAAAGATGGTGGCAAAAAAAAGGAGCTGTTGCCATCATGAACATGTTGGACTACAAATAGGAGGCTTAGAGGCGACTCTCTACCCACATATTTTACAGGCTGCTATTTTCAGTCTTCAGTGAAAAATACTGGAATGAATGGCCAAACCTGATGAGTCATCACATTGGAAAAATAGATCTGAGCCAGACACATTTGATTCCATCAATTTAAAATAGTTTCTTTACAAAAATTGGAAGGAATTCTGGTTTGCTTTATTTAAAAATAATGCTAACTAGCACAATTCATCAGCTGAAGAGAATGAGGAACTGGCCAAGACTGAATATTTCACTTTTATATACTCACCTGATTAAAGCTTTGATGCCACACGATTTGACTCGCATTAATGATTAACTCTTTGCCTGGAGGAGCCTGAGGTTCCAGTCTTCCAACTTTCACTCTAACCACTGAACCATTGGGAAACATCAGCCAGTTTGTAACATCAAAACCTGTAACTAATTCTCCATTTTCATCAAAATGCACAGTGTCTCCAACACTGTTGTTGAATATGGTTCTTCTTAGAAAGTAATGGACCTAGTTTGAAAAAGAATGTTAACAAGGGAATAACAGTTTCTTGAAATAATTTTAATATTTAGACCTCTTAGAAGTCTTGCCCTTTTTCAGACAGTATATTTATTCATTTTTATAAGAGTATTAATAAATCACCAACTCATGTCCTGACCAGAGACGAATGGTTGGTGAAGATGATGGACTATGCCAAAATGGCAAAATTGACCAGGAAAATCAGTAACCAGGAAGAGAGAAACTTTAATAAGGAATGGGGGGAAATTACAAACTACCTAAGAGAACATTGTAAACAACTAAAAACTTTGGCAGGATTTGAGTAACGCTTGTAATGTACAAAAAAACTAAGGTAAAAATGGATTATTTTAAGAAAAATAGAGAAAATATATGATGCAGTTGAAAAAGATTGAAAATGGAAACCATGGAAAGGTGAAGGAAGTCTAAGGATTCAGAGAATCCTAAATGCTGATGGTTATGTCTAATGTTTCAAATTAAATGTGTAGTGTAAAACTGAACAAAAAAGATCATGAAAATAAATAAGTAAATCACCAACTCATAAATTCATGGCTATGCACCATAAAATTGTTAAAACATCATAACATTTTAAAATCATAAAGCACAGAACTAATGACCAACATTTCTGTTCCGTTTCTATTTCTGGCTGTAATTTCTCTCTGTTAGATTCCAGATAATGGGGGAAATCACCATAATATTATGTGGTTTGCACTATGTATCAAAATTCTCTCTCTCTCTCTCTCTCTCACACACACACACACACACACACCAAAAAAACCCTGATGCAACTGTTTTATGTAAGCTCATGAATTCATATTATGTCTGGGGCATAAACTAGCCTGTTTTGTTATTATTGCTAAATTATGGAATTGTAATTACCTGCCATGGTTGCATATTCTGAAATGCATGTCTCCCGACCAACGTTTTAATTTTGGAGTTGGATTTATATATAGCATTCAAAGCATAAGCCACAGCATAGACAGCATTGTAGATATTGTAGCTGTGGCCAGTCATGCTCATTTCAAACAATATTCCAGAAATGCTCTCCAACTTTTCAGACCCAGTGCAACTTTTTTTTCCGTCTTCCTCCTCCTCCTCCTGCTCCCATTTAGACATTTTTAATGAACAGGCGAATGCCTGTTTCCAGAAGTCCTTGATAAACCCATCTTCTTTGTTCCAGTAAGGTCTTATCTTCTGAATGAACTTTTGGAATCCTGATGGCTCATTTGAGTGAACTGCGAAGGATATGGAACCATGAAAGGCTTGTATGTCCCAAATCTTTTGAACAGAGAGAGAAGCAAAATCCCAGTGGGATGTAATAATCCATACTTTACTGAAAGGTGGCAGTGACGAGAAAGGTGCTAGAAAGAGCAACACTCTCAAAACCTGAAAGGATGGAGGTTCTCCATATACAAAGACTGCAGTGGCTTTTTTCTCCGTGATAATGTGAAAGCTTCTCAGCCGCTGTATAAGCAAGGCTATCAACTCATCCACAAAAGAACGTTTTGGTATTCTTACTATGAAGGCATAACAGATATTGTTTTGGGAAAGCAGTGGCACCATTGTCTGTAAAAAGCGGTCCCCTTTGTCATCATTCACAGCCAAGAGCCCAACCCACGTCCATCCAAAATGCTGAAATAACCGTACAGCTCCCACATATTGCTGGCCTTCATTGGGTACCATCCGGTACAAAAAGGGGAACAGCCTTTTGGTACGTTTTGCTGTCAAAAATGACCCATAAGTGATCTGAAATAAAGAATGTAAGTAACCACATAAAATAAAAGTGTGTTAAATATTGCTATCTAAGAGTTAGAATCTACTAGGCCATCAGGAGTTAACAAAAACAGTTGTTAAGCCTCTTCTTAACCATCACCTATTACCCTTTAGTAATTCATTCTCTCTTCGAATTGGGCTTACCATTAATACATTTCTCATAATTTTCAACCCAATATTGTCCTGACTCCTTGAGCAAGAGAGTGCAAGTCTTTGCCCTCTTTGATGTGATGACCATTCAGATATTTGGCATTTGAAGAGTGCTTAAAATGTCCGCCTCCCATAAAAAGCCTCACATTCTCTCTCTCTCTCTCTCTCTCTCTCTCTCTCTCTCTCTCTCTAATTTTTATTAAATTTTCTGTTTTACAATTTAAAGTACTCATTTTTACATCCTTAAGATATCAATTACTTCTCTTCTCTTTCCATGGTTTATTTTGCATATCATAAATCCCTGCATATTTTACAAAAACTATACCATTTAGTATTCCATTATTACATCGATCAAAACTTATTTGCACTGTTGAATTTATCTTAATGCTGCTAGCGTTTTCAGATGTACACAGTTATTTCCCATATATTCAATAAACATTTTCCAATCTTCTCTAAACATATGTTATTCTTGTTCTCTTATTCTATATGTTAAGTCTGCAAGCTGCACATATTCTGTCAATTTAAGTTGCCACTCTTCTTTAGTTGGGACTTCGCTCGTTTTCCATTTTGGGGCTAACAAAACATGGGCCGCAGTAGTGGCATACATAAATAACCTTTTTTGACACCTGGGAATTTCAGTCTGAATTATCCCCAACAGAAAGGAATCTGTTGGGGGGGGGGGAGCACTTTCAAACATTTTTTTCAGTTCATTATGTATCATTTCCCATAATTCTCCCATTCTCACGGTTAACTATACCCAGTTTCCTCGACTTTCTCCCATTTCCATCTCCCTTTAAGAAAGATCCAGGTAGACTGAAACAGGTTCAAAAGAGGACAATGAAGAAAAGGGCAGCACTTTACTGCCCATGACCTGAAAACTATCGATCCATTACTGCAATGCAAAATAGCATTAGTCTTTCATCTGATAATTATTTTACCATTATGACCTACCTCTAGTATGTTTGCTAACAAAAATAAAATAGGGGAACTTTTCAAATGCTTGATTGAAATTGTTGTGAAACCTACAAACCTCTATACTGACAGCTTACCTGTGGAGTCTTGTGGACTGCTGAAATGATTGCCACGTTGGCAGAGATTTCAGAGACACATCCTGCAATGAAAGCAATCAGATTGCTCTGGTTGTCACACTTGAAGTTTGGGGTAAATCTATGGTGTGCAGAAAGCAGGCTCAGGGTGGCTTTATAGGTCATCTTTGCAGAATAGTAGCTATCGAGGATGCGGAACCCCAGAGACATATTTGATAAGATGTTGGGATTCTCATTGATCTCTTTGACAGCAAATGCTAATGCCAGAATATGCTGGTAGTTCTTAGGTACTGATCTGTAATAAGAGCTACAGTTGTTTAATGGAGTAATAAGAAAAACAAGGGGAGAAAGGATTTTTCCCACTTGTTCTGTTCCACTGTGCCCTGTTCTGCTGCCCATTCCACCTTGGTGTCAACCGGTGGGACATATATGAAGCTTGTTCGGGCTGAAAGAGGCAGTCTGCATAGCACTTCTGAATCATGCACGCACTTGGTGCCTTGGGAGGGGAGAGCCACCCTATTTAAGGGCTGAATGGCTGCCTCTCTCCCTCTTCTTTTTCTTAGAGCCACACCCTCTGCCCCTCCCTGTCTCTCAATTTAATTTGTAGTTGCTTCAGAGCCGAATACAGTGGTACCTTGGTTCTCGAATGTAATCCGTTCCAGAAGTCCATTCAACTTCCGATACGTTCAAAAACCAAGGTGCG